CCATGAAGGTGAAGAAGGGTGGCGGCAGGGCCGGGACCGGGGCGGGGCCCGCTCCTGGGGCTTCGGGCCTTAGCGTGGAGTCCACGCAGGGTCCACGAGTGGAATCTGAATCAGAGTCCGAGTCGGAGCCGGAGGCAGGCCCGGAGCCCAGACCGGGGCTGCTGCAGGGAAAGCAGCCCATCGGGCCGCAGGATGTGCTGGGGCTGCAGCGGATCACTGGCGGTGAGCATCCCGCGCAGGAAGGAGAGTGCGAGAGGGGGGCCTCGAGGCGCGCGGAGCCCTGGCCCCTGCCCCTTTTCCCCCACCCTCCCTCGGCCTCCCTTCCCCCACTTAGTCCCTTACTCTTTACTCCTCTCCCTGCTGTCTTCAAATTCTCTGTGCCCCCGTCCTTTGATCTTTCTGTGTACCCCTTTTCTTCTCTTTAGAGGTTCATTTCCACCGCGCTCCTTCCTTTTTTGAGGGGCCCACCCCTTTTCCCATGGTGGAGGTGGAGCAGCAGCTGCTACTGTAACCCTTTCCCGTGGAGGCTGCAGAGCCCTTTGAGGCCCGATTGCACGAATGCAGAGGGGGGCTGAGTGCGATCTATTCTCAACCCCCATCGGAGGCTAGGTGGAGGCTGATTAGGAGGTGTAAAGACCCTCAGGCTTCCCGTGCCTCTGGTGCCCACACCCAGGGTCCCCTAGGAGGACAGGGGCCAACCCCCTTCCCAGCCTGGAATGGGGCCTGTCCTCTTTGGGGGCTGTCAAGGGAAGCCTGGTCTACACTGTGATTGAGTTTCTGAGTTGGACTACCTAGGCTGGAATTCCAGCTTTGCCATATAATTGGCTGTGTGACCTTGGGCATGTAACAGTCTCTGAGATCCATCTGTTAAAGGAGGATAGCAACACCTTCCTTGTAAGGTTGCTGTAAAAAATAAGTCCTCAGATTTTGTACAATGACAGGCATGCTATGCACGCTCTGCAAATAGGGCTCTTCTCCTAGTATCAGGGACCCCATAGGGGTGCTCAGCCTGGAGCATTCAGGGTAGAGGCAGGCATCACCATAGACAGAAAACATGGCAGAGGGTTGGTTGAGCCTTGAAGAATGGGAAGTATTTGGAGAAAGTGGCCCTCTCCCTAACCTGCCCTGGCTCCCTTTCTAGCAACCCTTGGGAGTGGACTTGAGCCCTGGAGCTGTAGGAGCAGCAGAGCCCCAGGGCTTCCAGACAGGCCTGTGGAGGGGACCATGATGGCAGGCCTGAGCCTGTGCATCTGGGTCCCTGGGGGCCCCCTCCCTCCTCTCCGCGAGGCAGCAGCCGGTTCTTGGCTGGGCCCCCAGATTGCAGCGCTCCCTCGCCCAAACAGGCATCAGTGGAGGGAGGAGGCCTGGACCTGGCTGATGTTGAAGCCAGTTGGGTAGCAGATTGCAACAGCAGCATTTAGGATTCATCTTAGCTCTCTGGTTGGCGGTCAGACTGACCTGTCTGGGTCCTGGTAACTTTAGGGGTTTATTTTATAAGTAAAGGAGGCTTTCGGATGAAGTAACAACACTGGGAAATTCATATCCCTCAGAGACAGGCGTCTGAGGGGAATGAATAGGTGAAGGGGCTTCATGGAAGCCCTTCCTTGTGCAGGTTTTAGGAACAGGGATCCAGGGCTTTCTTACCTTGGTAACCCCTTGCCTGGTGTCTTCTGACCCTAATCACATGGATCTGAGGTTTTCTGTCCCTGGATTAATGGGCCCTGAATCCAGCTTAGGAAGCTATTTGTGGCTGAGAGGAAGGGGGAGCGGTTGTATTCTGAGCCCTCAGGCACTGCCCCTTACTCTGACCTGACTCTGGGTCCTAGTCCTTTATGCTTCCCTGGTAGAAGGGAGGAAATGACTGTAGTGCTCTGAGCCTTAGGTGTCCCCTGGCCCTCAATTCCTCTAAGGACAGAGGAAGGGGCTGACAGTTTGAGTTTGCAGAAGAGACTGAGGTCAGGACTGTGAGAAGTTATTCCTAAAGAGAGGAGAGGCTCCTAGAATTGGGAATGAGGAAAGAAGGGTGGGCCTTTTGTGGAGCTGGGATTTGGGCAACTAGGATCCTACTTCTAGTTCTGCTCCCACCTTGACCTGTACCTTGTACTGCATCTTCTTTCTATATCTTTATCTTTTTGTTTTGTTTTGTTTATTTATTTATCAGAACCAGGGATTGAACTCAGGACCTTGTGCTTGCTAGGCAGGTGTGGTGCCACCATGCTACATCCCCGGCCCATTTTTGTTTTGTTTTAATGTGTATCTTTGGACCAGTGCTTACTTTTTATAAAAATAAGGTATGTGTGCATAGGTGTACATAGGGCAAGGGAGTTGCTGCTCAATTTCAGTTTCCCTCCTTTCCCCACCTTGGGCTATGGTGAACAGGCCAGGCTAACTCAGGGCCCTCCCCAAGCCTTATATAGTTCCTACTGTTTGCCCAAGGTGCCAAGTGGCTTCTAGGAGGGCTTCCAGGAGGGGGCTACTCCACACAAGAGGCAGGCCTAGGGAAGAATAACTTTCTATTTACTTCCTCTTCCAATTTCAGAGGGATGGGAGGTGGCCCCGGGTCTGAATGGTGACTTCCGGGCTTCTGTGGGTCACCAGGGCAGGATGTGATGCTGTGCAGGCTGACAGCACCAGAGCCTCCCATTATGCCTCTCTTCTCCTTCCCATTTATTGCCAGGGCCTCCCTGAGCACTTCACGTTGCTGCTGCAAAGGCCACGAGGGTGAGCTCAAGTTCCTGAGCTTCCTCAGGCAGGATCTACCATGTTTCTGGTGGGTTAGGGCCATCCCCTTACTCCCATCCATACCCTAATGCACCTGCCAGGCCCTCTTCCAGGCTTAGCCTGTCCTCTATGGGCGTTAGGGAGCACAAACTGTGTTGCGAGTGGCTAGGGGCCAAGGGTGGATAGATGACCTCTAAAGGGGTTCCCTCTTTTCTTAGACTTCCTCCCATTTGCAGATCAACAGAGTGGAAGTAAAATTGGGCCCCTTCCCCCCAATATCCCAGGCTCTAGGCTGGAGTCAGCAGAGCTTTGGCTAAGCTGCTTAAGGGAGCTGGGCTTGCATAAGCTGCTTATGGGCAGGGGAGGGGTGGGGGGTAGGAAGGAGTTGTTCAGCTACCCACGTCAGAGAAAGTCCCACAAGATCAGCCTTGCCCAGTACATCTAGACGTAGTGCCAAGATCAGCTATGGGGTCGGGGTGAGAGCATCCTCCAGCAAAGGACCGAGCCCCTCCTAGGCCATAGCTATGTCACCCTCTTTGCAGCAAGTTTCACAAATGCAGGGATGCACCATCCTCTCATGCTGGAGGCTTCTGCCAAACTAGAGACATGTTTGGCCCAACATCTCAGCCTGGCAGATCAGAGAAATAAGGGCCCTGAACTCCAGGGTGGGAGAGAAAGCACTGGGGAGATGGCCTTGTCCTCCACCCTGGGGGGGCTTCCCCAGGGCAGGGGCTCAGTTTCTTCTTCTTGGAGGGAAGGGACCATAGGGGCCCATAAAAGCTGAACTGGCAGCAGGTGCCTTCCTGCTCAATTGCTTGTCTCCCCTAGACTACTTGTGCTCCCCTGAGGAGAATATCTACAAGATTGACTTCGTCAGGTTCAAGATCCGGGACATGGACTCAGGCACTGTCCTCTTTGAAATCAAGAAGCCACCTGGTTCAGGTGAGCAGGTGGTGGGCTGTTGGTGGGAGGAGGTGGGCAAGCATTATGGAGTGGGCTCAAGGACAGAGCAGAGCTAGGGCTTGGACCCCAGCATAGTCAGAAGTCTGTACGCACCCAGGCGTCTTCTTTGCCTTCCATCTGTGCCTGGGGGTAGACATCTTGGGAGGACAGTTTTCCCCCTTTAGCCCATGCCAGCCTGCCCTCTGCAGACACTCTTGGGAACTGCAGCCCCAGAGGCCCCCTGCCTCTGTATCCTGTGGCCCTGGGAAGCTGTGGAAATTGGTGCCTGCCTGACCTAGAACCTACCATTTGGTTCTGAAGCCTAAATATGCCTCAGAGTTGGGTGGAACCCTGGGTGGGCAAAGGCCCAGCCTGAAGCCCACTGAGCCCAGCTGGGATACATTGCAGAGCGGTTGCCCATCCATCGGCGGGACCTGGACCCCAATGCTGGGCGCTTTGTCCGCTACCAGTTCACGCCTGCCTTCCTCCGCCTGAGGCAGGTGGGAGCCACGTGAGTCGCTGGGGTGGGGTGAGGGCTAGGGAGAGGGAGAAGGTGGGAGCAGCCCTTCGTGAGTTCTTCCTGAGCCTCTCAGGGGCGGTCTGTCTGGAGCCTGGTGGGTATCTTCAAGGCCAAACTCAGCTCTGCCCCCTTCTCTCGCTCAGGGTGGAGTTCACAGTGGGAGACAAGCCTGTTAACAACTTCCGGATGATTGAGAGGCACTACTTCCGAAACAAGCTGCTCAAGAGCTTTGACTTCCACTTTGGCTTCTGCATTCCCAGCAGCAAGAACACCTGCGAGCACATCTATGACTTTCCCCCTCTGTCGGAGGAGCTGAGTATGTGAGCAGGGCCCTGTAGGACTGGGGTGAATGGGAGGTTATAGGGGAGCTAGGGCTGGGGGCTAGAGGAGGGGATTGGTTCCCTCCCCAGCTTAGGTCACTTTTGTGGGGACCATTCCCATGTCATCTGAATGAAAATAGCTCACAGAGGCTGAGGGATTCTCTGAGGTGGTTCAGCTGTCCCTGTCACCCAGTCCTGTAGGCCCTCAGTGGCCTAGCTCGGGCTTCTGACTTCTGCCCTGGCTGGGCCTGTCTTGCAGTCAGTGAGATGATCCATCACCCGTATGAGACACAGTCTGACAGCTTCTACTTTGTGGATGACCGGCTGGTGATGCACAATAAAGCAGACTATTCCTACAGTGGGATACCCTGACCCCCAAAACTGCTCTCCACCCCAGGAAGCTCTGGCCTATGGCCTCAACTGTGCCCTCTCCAGACTCACCTCTCAACCCCACATCTTCTGTTTGGGGTGTGCTCCAGGAGCCCTGGACCCTGTGCCAGTGTTGGGAGGAAGAGCGCCTGGTGTCCCCAGGTCAAGCCCCTGACACCCCTGGGCCCTGAGCGTGGGCTAAGGTGTTGGGGAGCCGTTTGCTTCTATGTCCTTCTAGGCTTCCTGAAAGAGGATCAGCCAGGACTTCCATACAGCCTAGCTTGGCCTCCTTGGGCCCAGGTTTCACAATACTGTTTCCTGCTCCAGACTGTGACTAGGTCAGGACAAGGATCTGTTCTCTGTCCTCTGTCAGCCACATCTAGACCATTTAGATTGTAAATTCTCAGACAAGATCCATAGGGGGTGTGGGCCTCAGCTCCAGACTCTCTCATCAGGGACCAAGACACTGGCTGAGATGTGGAGGGACCAGTCTAGATTTCAGCCTGTACTAGGAGCTGGACCAACTGTACATAGTTTTCAATAAACTTTCTCCTTTTTCGTTCTCTGGTATGGCTAGTCTGTGTGTGTATATGGGCAAAGACGGGTGGGATGGAGAGCATTCAGATAGTCATGTGCTCAAGGTAGTAAAAATTTCCCCACTTCCCAATTCCTTCTGTACCCTGGGTTCTCCTGTCTCCCAGTTCTCTGAACCCTGACCTCATGTTCTGCATCTAGATCAGCGTTTAGAACATGGTGGGGCTGCAAAAGTTTTGTCCTGTGATGAAGGGAACCCAGGCCCTGAGGGGATGTTTTGGCCTGCAATCAGCCATCCTAGTAGAGCAGAGGCTGGAACCACTGAAGGGAAGGTGTGGGGAGCTGCCTCGTCCTCCACGCCACCTTTCCGCTCTGCAGAGCCACTGCTGGGTGGTGCTGTCAGCCCTCCTCAGAGAAGGTGAGAGGGCTTTGGCTAAGGCCTACAGCCATCTCTTGCCCTCATATGCCTTGGGGAGCCTGACCAGTCCTATGCATACTGTTTCCACCTGAACCCCAGTCCCAGAGGAGGGGGCTGCTTAATGGAGGTGATTCTGGAACTGAGGGAGGTGCCAGCCCTCCAAGCTGAGAAGCCCCGGTGCTGGAATTCAGCTGGGTTCTGTGGAGCTCTTGCTGGGAGCCAGGAATTCTAAAGTGAGTGGGATACAGGGCACAAATTTACCTGTCTCTAGAACAAGATGCATGGGGTATATGAGGAGCAAAAGTTCTGCTTGGAGATTGGGGGGACAGTTCCTAGAGGAGACAGCTTTGGAGCAGGTGCTTAAAAGTTCAGGGTGACCTTGATAAGGAATGTATGGGGAGAGAACATTAGGCACAGGGGACAGCTGACGAAAGGCTTGGAGGCAAGGTTTATTGAGTACGTTCAGGAAAAGGAGATAACGTAAAAGGAAGACAGGTCTGCAGAGCTCAGGCAGATTGTACAGGAATGACTTGGTTGGATTGTCACTGGAAGCTGAGAGAAGCGTGGGTTGGAAAAGAGACTAATCGTAATGACTAAGATTTTTGACTGCTATGCTTAGGAGTGGGGCTTTGTCTTTATTTATGAAAGGCTCACAATCAGTGCCGAGGAAGGCATGATTATTATGCCCATTTTATAGAAAATGCAAGCCCAGAGGGGTTAACTTGCCTAGCCAGTATTGTACAGGTGTTAAGAGGCAGAGCCAGGATTTGAATCCAGACTGTCCAGCCCTGTGCACTACCAGACTGTAGGCAGGGAGGCAGTGAGGAGGATGTTGCAGGAATCGGGATGAGGGATGAATGGAAGCTGGAACTGTGTCAGTATAACAGAGGTAGAAATAGATGAAGCTGAAATTTTTAAGTGGTGAAATATTCAGGGTTGATGGTTAAATTGATGAAAGAAGGGTGAGATCCAGGCTAATGCCTGGTTTGTGGTTTGAGTGTTGGGTGGATGGGGGTGGCAGCGCTAGGTTTAGGGACCCAGGTTGGGTTGGATGAAAGGTAGAAGGAGATGAAGGGTCCACATGCTGTGGTATGTATGGTACCTACTGAAGATCCTTTAAGGAGAGTGCAAACCTAGGAGCATTTGACAGTGGGTGGGAGGGAGGGGAACCCACAATGGCAACAGAGAATCTTGTTTGGAGCAGGTTATATTAGATGCTAAGAGAGGAAAGTTTCACCAAGAAGCCGGTGCTCAGGCGTTCCTGGTTGCCAGAAAGGCGAGGAAGGGGACGTGAACGAGGATGGGTGTGAGTGGATTTGTTTGTATGTGATTTGCAGTTGAGGGTTATGGGTATAGAGGCTTATACTCTGGTTTTGCTTTAGAACCTGTAAATCTTTTGCTTTTTACAGGTTTAAGGGTTTGTTGTAATAGTTTATTGGGGTACAAGTCTGCAGAGATGCTATAGCCAGGAGGGACCAGTACTGGTGTCAGGAAGAGGACCTTTCCTTACTAACCAGTAATGAATTATCTTCTTCACTGTGTCTGCTAAGTAGAACCAGCCTGTGGTTCCACCTGCTGAGGTACCAGATCTTTAGATAGGAGGGGGCTCCCTATGCTGGGGTCCTCATCCCTGGAGCGGGCACCAGGTTGGCACTCACCCTGAGGGTAGCATGTGTCCCTTGGGCCTGGATGAGGCCTGGCTGGGAAAAGCCTTGGATCCCTGCTTTCTTTCAAGTCTTCATGCTTCTGTTGCTCGTCCAATGGTGTGACTTGCTGCGTTTGGTTCCTGGCGCTTTCCCTAGGAGCCTAGAGGACCTCTGGCACTAGAAGGAGGAAGAAGACACGGTGGAGGTGGGGCCAGTATTGGCACTAATGTCCATGATCTGTTGACCTTGGAGGGGGTGATTCCCCTGGCAGGGCCAGGCCTCAGATTCTGAACCGAGCGTCTTTTGTGCTTTGCCTTTTTAAGCGTGTCATGTCCACTGGGTAGAGCAGGCAAGCCCAACCCTTATAGGGAACCCCCCAGCTCATGTCCTGCTGGGCTGGCCTGTAGGGTGCACACTGCCAAACTAGGTGTCAGAACATTGAGATGCACCCTTCCTGTTGAAAAGAGCTGTTGTCCCAGGTCCTCAGTGCTTTCCCCCAGCCTAGCTGTCCCCTGAAGGTCACTCTGTATTTTACCATTTAATAACTGAAGCAAGTAAATGTCACTTTTTTATGTGCCACAGACTCCTCTTTTGTCAGTCTTTTAAAGTCTATAGACAATACAGGATTTTTGAGAACAAAATATATTGCAGCCAGGTGTGTTGGTACATGCCTATAATCCCAGCTCTTGGGAGGCTGAGGCAGGAGGATTTCTGTGAGCCCAGCCTGGGCTCCATGGTGAATCAAGGCCAGCCTGAACTACATAGTGACAGCCTGTCTAAATGAAAAGTATATATCCTAATCAACTATAAAAATGTTTTTTGTTTTTGTTTTTCTTTCCTCTTTCTCCTCTTTCTTTTTTTCTGTGCTGGGGTTCAAACCCAGGACTTTAAAGCAAGCACTCTACCACTGAGTTGTACCCCCAGCCTGATGCTTGTGATTTCTTTTTCTCTTTTAATTTTATTTTTATTAGTATATGTTTGCAATACATAATGATTACATTCATCATGGAGAGTTGTTACGTATATGTAACATTTCTTTTCTTCCACTCCTTCCTATTCTGTTCCTTCCTTTCTCCTTTCCTTCTTCCTCTCTTCTTTTTCTTTCTTCTTTCTTTTGACAAACTTGCTATGTAGATATATTCCAGGCCCTGAGCTCACAATCCTCTTGCCTCAATATCCTGAGCACTAGAGAATTACAGGCAGGTGCTGCTATACCTGGCTAATACCTATGTTTCCTTTTTTTTTTTTGGTACCAGGAATTGAATTCAGGACATTGTGCCTGGCCACAACCTTTTCTTTTTTTGGTACTGGGGATCGAACTCAGGTCCTTGTGCTTGCAAGGCAGGCAGCAGAACCACTGAGCTAAATCCCTGGCTCCCCAACCTGTGATTTCTAATGATACAGTTTACAGGTATGCTAAAACTACTATGATTTATTGCTGACATTCATAATCAATGGAAATGTTAAATTTCAGGTAGAAACGAGTAAAAGCAGAGATGTGTTTTTTCCTCTAAGTTCATAGATTTATTGATCTTAATCAGTTTTAGAACCCTCACAGAATACATGAACAATAACTCTCCACAAAATAGGGGACTTGTGGAAGCAAAGTCCATCCTGGAGTGGTTAAACATTGTTGTGTGAAAGGATGGCCAGCAGGGGGCAATACATGAGTGGGAAAGTAGTTTCATTTCTGGGGGCCCTGAAGCCTAATGCTAAAAGTTTGAGGGCTGTTCTGGTTACATACAAACGAGAAAATCAGATTCAAAGTGCTCTCTGCTCACCTCTGTCTTCTTTACACTGGGCCACCAGCCACTCACACATGTGCTAAGTGCATCCCATGGGACAGGGATCTGACTGAGGGCCCTGCAGGAGATGTCCTCTGTTCCTCATCTAGGCTGAGGTGAAAGGCAGGTTTGTCTGAGTTCCTAGGTTCTGAGGGTCTGAGGTAATGAAGTGAGTCCCTGTGAAATTCTCCTAGGGAGCACTTGCTCTGTCCTTGGAAGGTCTAAATGTCAAGACACAGGCCGGAGGGGAGCCATGGCTGGGTGCTGTTTCCCCTGGGGGCGTGGCAGAAAGCCTTCTCCCTCTTCCTAGAGAGCTAGGGCCAGGCTGGGGCAGGCAGGTCTTCCATTTGGGTGTGCCAGCTGGCCATACCTTCCTCCATACCCTGCCATACGCTGGTTCCAGCCCTGGCTCCTGTTTTAGAGCCACAGGAGGGTGGGGCTCCATTATGGGATCCTGTGCAGAATTAGTAGGAGTTGGCTGGCTCTTAGGCCAGGCCCCCAGGAGAACTTTCCAAACAGAGGCCTCACTTTCTACTGCTCTGGAACTGAGGTTCAAATGTGTGCTTTGGCTCCCACATCTCCCAGCCTTCTTAAGCACAGTTGTAGGGCTGCCTCTCAGGCTGCCTTTTGGTGATGGCTAGGCCACCTGGAGGTGATGCCTGGAGGGGTGAGTCTGAAACAGGACCCAGTGAGGCCCTGACCCTCCAGAGACCACACCCTCCAGTGCACAAAGCACCAACCTATGCTCTGTTCTTGCCGCTTGAGGGACCCACAGCACCAAGATAGACCTGGCATCTCTCTCTGCTGTGCACAGGAAGGCATAACTGGGACGGGACAGAGACCTCTTCCTGTGTGAGGGGTTGGGGATTACAGAGAGGGAGGAAGGTAGGTCTCAGGAAGAAGAGGCGGGGTAGGGCATTCTCTCCGTCCTCCAGTCAGGGCAGCCATGTCCATCTTTTTGGAAATACTTGTGGTTGGGGCCCTGCCTGCCTGCCTGCTCAGCCTTCTCAGGCTGTTCAAGAAGTCCTCCTAGGTGCCTCACTCTGTGGATTTGGAAGCTTCACAGTTCTGGGTGGGATAGGAGGGATGTCACAGGCCCAGCGCATGTATGACCAGCGTGGCCTGGCCTTTCAACTGAAGGAAGGGAGATCCAGAAATGAAGGCTCAGTAGCTGAGACCACAAGGCACTTGCTTTATTGTTCCAGAACGGGGGACGATGGCAGGCCACTGAGGAATGTGCTTGTGCAGCATATGAATCTGGGGCCAAACTTGTCACCCCCAGGCCCAGGGTAGGGTGAGGTTCCCACTTGGTGGGGCATGTCCGGCCCCTGGGCCGCATCTTCTAGCTCCGGGGACATCCTTCGTGCTTCTTGGATGTCCTGGGTCTGCCAGTCAGGCAAAGAGAGGGAGCACGGGTACTTCCCCACCAGCCTGTGCCAGGCTTTCCCTCCCTGAGTGCCCAGGTTTCTGGAGATAGTTGAAGTAACGAGTAAGCTGGAGCCTAAACTACAGGAACTTCTGTCTAGAGAAAGAGTAAGTTTGTGGTGACCTGGAGGGGGCCCTTCCCACACCCAGGACTGGGAGAAGAGGACTGTTCAAGTTTTTGAGGGCAAAGGCTTTCCAAACACTTTGTATTGGAATTGGGCTCAGTTTGCTCCCGGGGTGGACATCACCCCTCCTGTGTGTCACCCTGGCAGCGGCCAGACAGAGTATATATGCTGAGGCTGGTGAAGCCTGGCACAGCGGGCTCCAGAGGCAACGTGGGAGAAGCTTTCTATCTTCTCCCTGCTGGGCTGTTGAGATGAAGACAGGAGAATAAATACGGGAGGCTTCTGGGAAAGAACGTGACTGGAGAAGGCCAGGCCTGCCAGAGCATGTGGGAGTTAGGACAGGGCTCCAGGGGAATCTTTGACCTGGTATGGGGTCCTGAGCTTTGGTAACCAAAGCCCTTCGCTCTCAGGTACCTCTGAAATGAAGTCAGGCTCTCCGAGCTGTGGAATGGATTTCTCTGTGTGTAAGGCATGTGGGCAGGTGTGTGTCTGAGCAACTGTATCTGTGTGTGCATGAGAGCTGCAGTGTGGACGAGCGTGGCCTATGGAGAATGCATTTGCTTCTTTCCCAGACACTTGCTCTCCAAGGGGCCCTGAGTGAGGAGCAGGACCACCAGGCAACAGAAATGCATGAGGGGCAGCATCTTGGGTGGCATCCTCTATACCCCAGCCGCCAGCCCACAAGTTGGCTGAGTGGCATAGGGGACAGGTAGTATTTTCCTTCCTTGACCTTTAAGGTGAGCCCGATATGGGCGACAGCTGGCACTTCCAGACCAAGCAAAGGCTGGAGCTGATGTTGGGCATAGCTCACGCCAGGGCCATGGGCTTGGAGCTGGGGCTGAGGTACACAGCAGGGCCAGCAGGGGCCGTGTGGGGCGTGGGCTCCAGCTCCATGAAGGCTGAGTAGAGGGTGGTGAGGGGAAGGTCTCCCAGGGCTGCAGAGTTTCCACTGCTTGGTGGTGCCAATTCACCTGTCCCACTGCCCGTCTCTGCCAGACAGGGCCCTGGAGGGAAGCAGTGAGGTGGTGGCAGGGGTGGCGGCATGGAGGATGATGTTGGGGATGAGGTCACCAGTACCAGGGGGTCGAGGGCCAAGCTGTCATCCTTCAGCTGTTCCCACAGGTTTCCTGGTCGGGGGAGCGGGAGGAGAAAACAAGCATCACTAGGAGGCACGCGGGAAGCCCTTTCTGCCTCCCACCCAGGGTTGTCACATGCTGCAGAGAGCAGGAATGGGGTGACGCTGGGGGAAGAACTAGCAAGACCTGTGTGACCCTAAGCAATGACTGATTCTCTCTGAGCTCCAGGCACTGTGTGAAAGCCCTAGATCCAGACCATCTCGGGCCTGTGGCTCTTTTGGGGTGGGGAGGAGGGAAGGACAAGGATTTGAGGGCTGCTTATTGAAAGGGTTTTGCAGATTTTGTGCTCTCGGGATCAGCCAGGGGCGTCTCCCCAGAAACTCTGCATGCTGGCTTCTGCCTAGGCTCCCAGGAAGGCAGAGCTGCAGCCCAGAGGAAAGATTTTCCCGTGGTGCACTGCTAGAACTGAGGAAATGCAGGAACATGGCTCCTGGGATGTTTCCATTCCCAGGCCTAAGAGTTGTGAACAGAGGCAGGAAGCAAAATAAACAGTGCTGTCAGGAGCAAGCAGTGCTGTTGCCCGATCCCTCTCTGTATCCTACAACCTGCACTGTGGCTGACCTGGGCATCAGGGCCGCAGGGTCTGCAGGAAGAAAGCCTGACCAAATCGTGGATTGGCCTTGGCAGTCTGGGCTCCAATCCTTTTTCTAGCTAAGCGGCCTTGAAGAGGTTATATAATCTCGATACACTTCTGCGAAATGGGTTTAGTATTCTCTCGTGTTCTACATGTCCAGATGAAAGAGCAGATGAAGGCAACTAGATGATGCCTGGTAGTAGGGACGCAAGTAGACATTTATTGTATCCAATGTGTCCATGGCTTCCTCTGAGGCTGCTTGAGCCCTGTTCTCCACCTCTGGACTGGGGTGAGGATTTTTTTTTGTTTTTTGTTTTTTTGGTACTGGGGATAAAACTTGGACCCTTGCATTTGTGAGGCAGGAAGCAGAACCACTGAGCCAAATCCCCAGCCCCTGGGGTGAGGATATTTATAAAGTTATTTCTTTCTTTTCTTTTTTTTTGGTACCGGGGATCGAACTCAGGTCCTTGTGCTTGTGAGGCAGGTGGTGGAACCACTGAACCAAATCCCCAGCTATGAAGTTATTTCTAATAGAAGCTTCTCAGGTCCTGGGCTGTCTCATCCTCAGACTGGGAGCTCTTTGACGCAGGCTGCTTCCACCTGCCTGTGGGTCCCCCTCAGCACCCTGTGCTCACATAGTCTGAGGCTGGGTCAGTAGCCCCCTCCAAACCTCTCATGGCCAGCCTGGGAGTCTACTGCAGTCCAGATGAGAATGCAAAGGGGCCTTGACTTCGTGCAGAGATGGAGCAGAACAGACAGGACCTCTCCTTGGATTTCCCTAAATCTCTGTGCGATCCTCCCAACCCTATGGTCTTACATGCCTCCCAGCTCTGAGATCTTACATTCTTCCCTACAGAGAGCCTCTCTCCCCCTCCCCTTCTCCTGGACCTCACTACATATCCCAGGCTATCCTCAAATTCATGGTGATCCTCCTGCCTCAGCCTCCTGAGTGCTGGGATTACCAGCATGTTCCACCATATCCGGTGAGAAGGTTTCTTTTTTTCTGCATTAAAGTGTGAACTCTGACAAAAATGCACATGCTTCTAGAAATGCTCAGCCTGCCAATTGTTCGAAATCAAGTGTTAGCTAAGACACTGTGCTCTTTCCAGCCTGGATAGAGCTGAGAGCAATTTGATGATGCATCAGTTAGAACATGTTCAGGGCACCAGGTGGAGGAAAGTGGGTCAAGGCATTTCCCCTCACCCTGTGCTCCAGATGGCAGAGACCAAGTGAGAAGCTGGACACACACTCTGGGCTCTGCTTCAAGTGACTACAAACCCATTCGCTAGCAGCCAGAAGCCTGGAGATGCAGTGAGATGGGCCACACTGCCAGGCGCACCCCTCCAGTCCTGTCCCACCTCCCTTTCCCATCCCCAGCTCACCCTGGAAGTCAAAGTCAGTGAGAGAGGGGTTGATGGCATCCAGGTCAGTACCAAGGTCTCCGTCTGGCAGTAGGGTATCGGGCATGGTCCTGGCCGGGGAAGGCTCAGCCAGCAGCTTGGCACCGTTGCTGGGTGGGGTGTGGGCAGGCAGAGGCGAGTCCTGGGGGGTGCCTGGCTGGGCACGCAGCTCAAGGTGCCCTTCTGGCTGCGGGAACAATGGTTGCTGCGGGGGCCCAGGAGGGGCCAGGCTAGGTGAGAGGTGTGGGTATGTCTGCCCATAGCAAGGGGGTGTGTGACCGCCAAGTAGGTCCTGCAGGGGGTTCTTGCCAGGAACGGGGCCTGGAGCTGGATGGATGGAATGCAGTGGCTGGGAGAGCCCAGGTAGGGGTGCCAAGGGCCTGATGGGGCCTGTGCCTCCCATCCCAGGGGGCGGGCAGCCCAGCAGTGGGGAACCCAGCTTCTCCCTCTTGTCTCCAATGAGGTTGTCCAGCTCTTCTGGAAAGGCCCAAGAAAGAAGAAACGCCATGAGATCGCCCTCCTCCATTTGTGGTCTCCCCTCCGTGGACCTCACTCAGGCCCTGACCCTGTTCTTTTTGGCTCACAGGTCCCCCCGCCCCTCCCTTGAGTGGCTCGGCCGCCTCACCTGGCTTGGCCATGCTTTTGCGCACAGCGATGGGGTCTTTCCTCTTCCACTTCTGCAGCTCCTCCTGCATCTTGTCAATCTTGGCGGGATTGAGAGCCCACAGGCAGCCCTTGCGAGAAGAACTTCCAGACTTGTTCTCTACCTTCTCAAAGCACTTGTTGAGGGATAGGTTGTGGCGGACGGAATTCTTCCAGCCGTCAGGTGCTGTCTGCTCAAGCAGAGCAAAGCAAGCATTTAGGCTGAGCTCAGGCAGCGAGACCTGGTCCCAGGTCTGCACTCTAGAATATTCCTTGCCCCCTCCAGAACTGCTGCCTCCTCAGCACCCTGCCCATGTGTGGCATCTTCAGTGCAGGGGAAGTGGCAGGCAGGAACTTTAACCACACTTTTTTTTTTCAAACAGTACTAGGGATTGAACCCAGGACTTTTGCACTGAATTCCATCCCCAGCCTTTCTTTTTTTGTACCAGGGTTCAAACTTGGGACCTTGTGCTTGTGAGGCAGGCGGCGGCACCACTAACTAAATCCCTGGCCCTATCCCCAGCCTTTCTGGCTAAGTTGCCCAGGCTGGGCTTGAACTTGTGATCCTCCTACCTCAGTCTCCCAAGGTGCTGGGTTCATAGGTATGTGATACCATACTGGGCTTACCACATGCTATTTTCACCTAAAGTCTGCCTTCTTCTTAGCCTGCCCTTGGCCTGACCCTGCAGAGGACCGTGAGGTGATTATTAAAGAGAGGGCCGGCGGACACCCCAGAGGTTCTTGGCCCACACACCCACCAAAGTGGGACCAGGCCTACTGGCTTCTGTGGCCCCTATGTGGAAAGGAAACTTCAAGGTGTCCTGTCCAGCTGTAGAGAAGGAATTAGGGCTCCTCTCCTGGGCCTGTCTTCTCTAGGGCAGTCAGGAGAACAGAAGGATGGGTGAGGCTGGTGAGTACCTGGGTGTGTGCTCATGTTGCACGTACATTAGAGCGTACCTGGGTGGTGGTGCATGGGGGCACAGTGTGTGTAAACACACACCTACATACCAGGCATGTCTCCCCTCTGCGAGCCGCAGCTCCCAGGTATGGTCTGTGAATTCCTGAGTGTGAGGACGTATGTGCCACTGGGGATGGCTGTGAGAAAGCCTCTCGGGTAGGTGTGTGCGCATCCACAGTCTCCTCAGTATGTGGGTGTGTGTTCGCATGAGTGTGCCTGGGGGCGTGCCCTGGTGGGGAGGCCAGCCCTCAGGCAGGGGGTGCTCGTGCCAACAGAATAAACACCCATTAGGAGGCCCGGTCATGCCACCAGTGCAGTAATTGTGCCCAGGGAGGGTTGTAAAAACCATTAGGCTGACTCAGTTGGTGAGAGGCGGTGGCGGGGGCGCAGTGGGCCTCCTGCCCCCCTCTTCAGCTCTGTCCCAGGCTCTGTGATGGCCCTGAGCCCATCGGGGGCTGACTGAGAGGAGAGCTGCCACTCTGGGCAGTGGGGCTTCTTCACCCTCATCATCCAGCCCCTCTCCCTTTTACCCCATAGTTTCTGGGTAATGAGAGGTGGCCACTCCTTCCTCCTCAGCTCACTTGCCTCAGGGAGCAGCCAAGCTGAATCACGCCCAGCAGAACCGGGACCTGATGCCAGTGTCACTGCAAGTTGCTGGCAGCAGCTACTGCAGCCTTTCTTGGGGACAGCTTCCAGTGTCACCAGCGACCAGACTTCAACTCCTACAACAGTCTCCACTAGGAGTCAAGGCTACGTCGCCCCATGGGCAGTGTTAATGGGCACTGAGGCATTTTATAGCCTCATAAATCTGTAACTTGAAGATTCTAGGGTAGCCCCTACCCCAGCCACTTCCTGTTTGGAAGCGGAATGGTCAGCACTAACAATTATGTCCAGTGGCTGGACACTTCCCCAGTCCCACATCCCTGACTCACGGGGCTGTAGGATGCCCAGGTCAGCTGCCTCTGTCCCTGTCAGAAAAATGACCTCCAAATGTGGAGTGGGAGAAGGAAAGGGTAGGGGATCTTTGAACTAATTCCTCAGGTGGCTCAGAGGGGGAACCGTTGAGCTGGGAGGAATCCATGCGCCAACTGGTCTAACCTGACCATTTTACAGATTGGGAAATGGAGGCCCAAAGAAGAAAGGGTCTGGCCCTGGGTCACACAAGGAAGCAGTGGAAGATCCCAGGCTCCAGCTCTGTCCTCTACCTAGGGGCCCTGCCCAGATCACAGCATAGGGGCTGCCTCAGTTTCCGGGTCTGTCACCTCCTCACAGGTGCTCTGTCTCTCTGAAGTCAAATGTAAACTCAGGAGCAAGGGGGTGATGCAACTGGCTAAGAATAACAACTAGAACCAAAAAAAAGCTGTTAGACCTCTTCACTCTTCAGCCCCATAAAACAGGGATTACATGGCTCCCAGGAAAAATAATTAAGCCAGGGAGAGGAGATACAGGGAGGGGCTGGGGGCCAGGCCATAAGTCGGCAGGGAGGGATGCCCAGTGGTATAGGGCAGGGCCTTCATTTCCCTTTCTCCGGCCTGGCCCCTTGAGGCCCTGGAGGGCCCTCCAACGGCTTTGGGATTAGGAAGAGTTGGGCTCCCTGCCCTGCCAGGGTAAGGGGACAGCCCAGGCCTTGATGCTTCTTGATTGCCTGAGACCACTGTCTTCCTTTTCCTCTCCGTTCCAGAACCTCTGTAGGATCAACATACTTTTCTACTCCTGGCTGGACCACTGTGACCCTCTGGCTCATCCCCTTCTGGTGGCAGCTCAGAGGGTACAGACTCGTTTGGACTCACAGGGCTGTAGGATGCCCATGTCGGCTGCCTCTGTCCCTGTCAGAAAAATGACCTCCAAATGTGGAGTGGGAGAAGGAAAGGGTAGGGGATCTTTGAACTAATTCCTCAGGTGGCTCAGAGGGGGAACCGTTGAGCTGGGAGGAATCCATGCGCCAACTGGTCTAACCTGACCATTTTACAGATTGGGAAATGGAGGCCCAAAGAAGAAAGGGTCTGGCCCTGGGTCACACAAGGAAGCAGTGGAAGATCCCAGGCTCCAGCTCTGTCCTCTACCTAGGGGCCCTGCCCAGATCACAGCATAGGGGCTGCCTCAGTTTCCGGGTCTGTCACCTCCTCACAGGTGCTCTCTCTCTGAAGTCAAATGTAAACTCAGGAGCAAGGGAGCTGCAACTTATCCCCAGGCAGGACAGCTGGGTAGATGGTAGAGGCAGAGACACCCACTGGCAGGTAATCTGGACCTCAGCTCCTACTCTGCCTGGGTAGCAGGTAGCAGGTGAGATCGTATCCAACAGGTTGAAAGTTGTGGAGAAGTCACTCCTCAGACACAAGCTCCGGCCTCCACTGCACCCACCCCAGGAGAGGGGATCAGTGCAAGAGGGTCTGGGGGTGAGCACCGTGCATTAAGGCGAAGACAGTGGTGTGTAAACCCGAGCAGCCTTGCCTACCAACTGAGCCCACCTGCTGTGTGATCTTGGGGGGACAGACTGCCATCTCTGATATATTTGCCCATTTGAGGATAGGGGCACCTGTGCTGCCCCTATGGGGGCTTTGAACCCTCAGAATCCTCTTTTGTGACTGATAGGAACTAGATCCTACATGCGGATGAGGGTAGAGTCGGGTGGGCCAGCAACACCCTAGGACGATGAGGCTCGCACCCCACTCTCTGGGAGAGCTTCGGCTGAGCCTGCCGCCTGCAGAGGCGGATCCTAATCTCACCCCAGAAGGCAATGGGTTCTTCTGCCCCAGGATCTCTTGTCACCTCCCCGACCAGCTCCTCCTGGACTCCCTTCAGCCTCACAGCATCCTGGGGTAAGGGTGGGGACGGACTCCTTTCTCCCAACTTCCTCTTCTTGCTCCAGACCTGGCTGCAGGCTGCCATGTCACCTGGGCTGCATAGCTTGAACTCTCTTCCCTCCCCACACAGAGCTCCTTCTTCAGGAACTCTGTGTGTCTAAGGTAGAGGCCAGGGAAAGGGTATAGGGGGGCCATTCCCCCCACTCTAAGTCATCCTAACTCTTCTCTCACCTCAGGGCAGAGCCCTCTGGCTTGTCCAGGGTGTGAGGTGGTGGATGGAGATGGGTCTCAGACTCACCTTGAAATAAGGGAAGTGCTCTGTCATAAAATTGTAGATCTCGCTCACAGGAAGGCTTCCAGTTTTACTGTTCTTAAGGGCCATGAAGATGAGGATGCTGAAGACACAGAGAGCCCCTGAGAGCCTGAATCTTCAACCAGATCCTGAGCCCCCCCACCCCAGAGCACCCCCTCTGGTGAGAGGCTCTGCGAGGTTGAAGTTGAAAGGAGAGGGGGTGAGAAACTGTCCCGGAAGTAGGCGGTGAGGTCAGGAATTACAGATATACAAGGGTCTTGAGGAATTCGAGAAACCAAGATTGCCATCTGACTCAGCCACATACTAACTGTGTGACTTTGGGTGAGTGCCTCAACTTACCTGAGCCTCTGTTTCCTTAGCTTTGAAGTGAAAAAAGTAATAGGTGCCTCAGAGTTGTGAGGAAGACTGGTGGATGATGCCTCACACGTAGAGAAACACTCATTACATGGAAGCTGTCATTATTACCAGTTGTCCTCAGCCCAGACAGAGGAGGGAACCAGGGCTCTGGGTCCCTGTGGTGTGGTGGGCACTCTACCTCCTACGTTCTTTTACTCAGTCCTGTCAACAGACTGAATTGCCATCTCCCTGATCTTTTCTTTTCCCCCTGCCCTAAATGAATAAACAGAGGCTCAGAGAGATGAAGGAACTTGCCTGAGTTTCACAGCCAGTAAATTCCAGAGCCTGGTGTTGAACCCAGCTCTACCTAACTGCAAGTCCTGCCTTCTGCCTGCCCCTGACTGATGTGTGACTTCCTCATCCTCTCATTAATCGAGGCTCTGACTTCTCCTTGGGGCCTGGCACACAGTAGGTTAAGTGTCACTGTTGACTGGATGAATGAAAGGAGGGGTGGAAAGGCCCCCCAGACAGGCTGGGTGATGCTGGCATTTAAAACTCCAGCCCCAGGGAAGACCCACCAGACCCCAGAAGGTGCGAGGTAACAGAGTCACATCTGTGATCTCCATCTCTCATTTGTTTCCACTAGAACATTGGAATGGGGCTTTCTCCCTGGCTCTGGGGTGCAGGGGCAGGCAGTGAGCATCCCCCTAAACTTTAGTGCCAGGCCCTGAGGCCAAGACTGGACTCAGCAGGCTCACTCAAGGCACCAGCATCTGCCAAGTCGATCCAGAGACAAGGCTCTCCAAGGTTAGAGGAGAGACCAGAGGTCAGTTCACCCCCTGCCCCAAGCAGAAACCCTTCCCAGCATCCTTTGGAAGCCCGCTAGTATGACCTCAACCTTACACATGAAGGATGCCATGCCTCAGTTTTCCCAAGGACTCTCTGACCCCTCCTTTTCTGCCCCAGAGGTGCTGGGAGATGTACCTGTAAGAGTAGATGGGTTTGGGGAAGAGTGGCTGGTGCCCATCGGTGCTGGCCTGTGGTGCAATCCGCTGGTATGGATAGTGGGAGGAGCCCAGGTAGGGAACAGGGTAGCTGCCACCAGCTGGCGAGTACTAGATAGAGGTCAAAGGAGGCAGAGTGAGCAGTCACCACAGTTTTCAACCTTTCCAAAGGGGAGACTCGCCTCCCCCATTCATTTACATCCGGAGAAGGAGCTGAGGCTACATTTGCGCCTTCTTGCATGGGCTCCATCACTCCCACAGCAGTCTGGCAGGTGGCCAACAGTGTGGATATCCGAGGGGCTGGGAGATCCACATTCTGGAACTCAGACTCCCAGAGGCCTCAAAATCCCCTTCTTCCCGGTCCTTCCCCTCAGCCCTTTAGGTACACTGGTTGCCATGGTGACGGAGTGGCTAGAGCCTGGCAGGGATGGAGAGAATGAGAAACAGCCAGAGGCCCCTGTACCCTTCCAGGCTGGTGCTCCAGGCCTCCTGTTCCTCTCCTGGAGTGTTGGGCCGGAAGTAGGCTGTCCAGTTGGGGTGCTTGCTGGGCACTGCCATCTTTTACGAGTTTCAGTGGCTCTCTGAAAGAGCCGGTCATGGTGGTAGGCAGGTGGGGTAGGAGGTGGTTTTACAGCAAAGGGAGTGGCTGCGGTGCCAGGGATGGTGTTTTATGGGGGCAGAGGGTAGGAGACTCTGACTCCCCCAGCTGCTCCAGGCTGAAGTGCTCTTTCCAGGTCACTGAGAGACACTCAGTGCCTGAGTCACCCTCTCTTTAGGTTCCATAAAGACCTGGGTGCGGCCATCTTGTTCGAGGAGGGTGTGTAGACTGCAGAGGGCATCAAAGCAGGGCTAGGCTCGGTGAGGCCATTTAAGGTCTGGTGGCCCTTTTCTGTAGTAGCTCAGTCCCTGATAGAGCAGGCTGCTTCAGGGACATTCCTTATCTGGGAATGACCAGGAGTCTCAGGATAGCTCAGCCATCGCAGCCAGGCCCTTCATGGAAGTGAGGATGTTCCCTTTATGCCATGTGTTCTCTTGTTCCCCTCTGTCTCTCTCCCTAACACAGCAGACTATCTCCCCCCCCACCCCCGGCTCCTCAGCTTGGCCAAGATCAGGGCCAATGCCAAAGAGCTGGGAGTAGAACCTGCTCCACAGGCAGGGCCTGTCTCAGTGCCAGGCTGCAGGTGGATGGAGCTGGGCGCTGGGCAGTCACTTGCTCTGTCTTGCCCAGTGACTCCAGGGAACTGCTTGGCTGCACTTTTTTTTTCTCCTCTCTTTTAAAAAACCTCATCCCTTGCCAGTGTGGGGCAATTTTTTGGCATCCTGCACATTTGGGAGGAGCCAAAGCTGGGCAGTAGGGTAGGGAAAGAGCCAAGGATGATGAGGGCTTGAAACCTTCTGGATTGGGTCCCATGGAGCCCTCACCTCACACCAGGTGCCCACCCTCTCTAAGCCAAAGGGAAGTATGAAACCAAGGTCACACAGCAGGATGTGACCTAGATGGGGGCTCATCGCTCCCTGCCCTGCTTGGCTTTGGTGTCACTCCACACACTGCTTTTCTCTCTGATCTATCTTTGGTCTGGGGTAGCTTCCCCTTCCCTTTTTGGTTTGTAACACGGCCCTGCCTTAGTCTTGCCCCATTCTCACTTGAGATCTCTCAGGCTCCACTGGGGATTCAGACGAGCCCTGACCACCCCTTAAGAAAGGCAAACGCTTCTCATCCCGTGAACCACTGCTCCCCACCCCAGCTAGGCCAGCTCGAGCTTCAGGACCCTGCTCCTTCACCTGGCCACTCAGGTGTGCACACACCCCTCTATGCACAGCATGCACCCGTGTAATGTCCTTAGGCCCCCAGGAAGCTTGCCCACTCGCCCCAGCCCCACCTGGTGGAAGGGTGGCTGGGAGGGGCAGTACATGTGCTGCAAAGGGGGCTGGTAGCAGTACATTCCAGGACCACTCTCCAGAGCTGGGGGCTTGATCTTGACCTCTGACCCCTGCTGGAAGAGAAAGGAGATAATCAGGCTGGGTTTTATTTTTCTCCCCGCCTCTTTCCATTGTCCTGAACTTCACACGAAAAGCAACCCTTCTCCCTCCTTCCTCCCCTAAAGTTTAGTCCTGAGGAACAAACTGAGAAAGGAGGACAAGGGTTTTCCCATGGGAACTCAGCAAGTTGGTAGCAAGTTGGTGGCAGAATTAAGGCCAGACTCCCTAGAATTTATCACATACCCCTGCCTGCAGGTAAGAGACTGAGGGCGGGCCATCCAGAGAGGTGGCAGAGATTTATCGATGGTCATATTGAGGGTGGGACAGGCCAGATATCTCTGTGAGGCTCACATGGCTCCTCAGGGTCTAGCATAGAGCTCCACCCTGAGCAGGGACAGGCCACAGATAGGTCCTGGAAGATAGACGAGCCCAGGAGGAGGTGGACTGCCCCTCCTGGTGTTACCAGGGGCCTCCGGAAATCAGCATCTGGGCCCAGCGGGGGCAAATAAGCCTTGACCTCTTTCTGGGTGTGCCCTGGGGTTACTGATGGAGAGATTTCCATAATCATAGAATCTCAGGCCTGGAGGGCCAAGAGAACTTGGTGCAACCCCTTCATTTGACAGATGACAGGGCTGAGCCCAAGGAGCGGGATCCATGTGCCATAGGTGACCCAGTGAATTGACCTGAGGTATGAGTCTCTGGGCCTAAGCTCTTCTTCATGAGGTAGGTAAGACTGGCATCGATCTCAGCCTCATCGTGTATAGGCTAGGGATACCTTGGGCAAGTTGCTTTACTTGGCCTTCATGAGCCTCCATTTCTTCCTCTACAAGATGAGGGTGGCAGGAACTTTCTAGAGGAAAGAAAGCACCTGGCAGAATGGCCAGGAGCTGGTACTGAGTGGACAGTAGTTGAGGGCAGTAGTTGATATAATGGTGCCCTCATTGTGGCTGCTGCCATGTTCTAGAACCTGAGATTTTGGAGAATCAGGATAACGTTCTATCCTTGGCCACACCTGATAGGTGTCCATCTGCCTTCTCTATCTTCTTGGGGAGAGGCTTGGGATAGAATGGGGGCCTGTTTGAAAGCAGAGGTGAGGAAGGCATCTGGAGTAGGCACAGCCCAGGCTGAGCCTACTCAGCTACTGCCTTGGGGACCTCTAAGAGCTGGGGAATGGCAAGAAAGGTCCCTTTAACTACCCAAAGCAACAATCCTGCCAGGTGTGGTGGTGGACGCCTGTAATCCCAGCACTCAGGAAGCTGAGGCAGGAGGATTGCTCTGACTTTGAGGCCAGCCTGGGCTACATAGTGAGTTCAAGGCCAGCCTAAAGTGCATAGTTAAGGCCCTGTCTTAAAAACAAAAAACAAAAAACAGCCCTCAAAAAACCACCACCAACAACAAAAAAGGAAAGCAACAATCTTATAAGGTATGTACCCTTAATTTTACTTTTCCCATGAGGCTCAGAGAGGTTTACTGGCTTGCCCAAGGTCCCATAGTGGCAGGTATTGTAGAAGGACATGCTGACCTGCCAACGTGCTTTCAAGGTAATCTATGAATATACTCAGGCCGCATTCTGGCAAAGAGATAATTTAAATTTTACAGAAGCTCTCAACTCTGTACACTGATGCTGAGGCTGTGGCTCCTCCCTAACCCTTTTCTCTTGGCCTCTGGAATGTAATTTTCTTCTCACATTTGCATATGGGCGTGTTGGTCTGGCTGGGGATTCTTTATACTTACATGAATAGAGAAGTCACACTCTGGAATCCTGACTCAGGAGCTTCTGGGAAGCTGCCAGTTTCCTTCTCCTGACTTGCCTCCACCGCCTGCCCCCTTGACACCCCACCAGACCAGCATCCCTTCCCCAGCTGACCAGTCCAATATGGAGCCAAGAGGCCCAATCCTCTGAGCTTGCTACTTGCTCTTGAGACGCAAGGTCTAAGAAGGGAAGGCGGGGACTTTGATCTCAGAGAACATTTTTTAGGCCAGCAGAAACCAAGGCTGGAGGGAGGTGGGATGACTGCTGGTCAGTGGTACTCACCAGGACTTGACCCTGCTCCTGGCTGGGGTAAGGGAGTCCGTTGCACCAGGCCTCTGCCGCAAAGCCAGGCGTGAAGGCCTCAGTCTCCCCCACATCCACAGGGATCTCCTCAAAGGCCTCCAGGGTCCCCGGGGTCTTAAAAGAATGTCCATCAAGGGCCAGGGCAGTCTGGGCCTCTGCGAAGATGTCTTCGTGGAAATGCCGCTTGTATGGGTGGAAAGGCACGTGGTTGCCCTTGAGGAAGCGCCCAGGGTTGCTTGCTGTGCCTTCCTCAAAACTGAAGCCGGGATACTTGTCTGAGGGTGAGAGCCGGAAGGGCCCCAGGCCAGAGCCAGCTGGGCAGTGAACCTGGACCTGCTCAGGACCTGGTGATGCAATGCTCGGGCTGTGTGGGGGCAATGAGGGTGCCCTCTCGGGAGGGCCTTCGGGCACAAATGACGAGCAGCTGAAGCTGGCATGCTTCTAGATAGACAGAGTAGAGAGTCTGTGAGTGGAGGTGGGACCAAGTCATATTATCTGCCAGGACCTTATTGTGTGCTGAGGCAAAAGGATCTGTGGCTGAGCTCTGGGGAAGCCCCAAATGATGGAGAAGACACAGCCTGCTCTTGCAATACTGACGAGGACATACTGCCCCTAAACCTGGGGTACCCCAAGGCTGATGGGAAAGCCCAGAGTGAAGGGATGAACAGAGGCTGATATCTGAGCTCCTTGGATCTCAGTCATGAAGCCAGTGGAAGGGATAAGACAGCCCTGGGAGGTGCCCCGGGGTCAGAGCGACATGTCCACTTGCGGGCCCCAGGTACTAGGTACTCACGCTCTGTGGGGCAGGGGAGCCAGGGAGGCCCGGAGCCTGCATCAGGTCCCTTTGCGGCTCCCCTTCCAGCCTGGTGGGGCCCGGTAGTGTGACGTCAGACTGCGGCGGGAGTAGTGACACCATCACCCAGTCCTGGCCTTGAAGAAAGACGGCTGCGGTGAGAATGAGGACCAGCACCTAGGGCTGATCACTCCCAGGTCCACCACCTCCACTCCCACCCCATCCCTGGACTGGGAAGGAAGGGAGGTAACACTGAGAGCAAAGTGAGCCAGGCAGGAGACCTCAGAGGAGGGGTCAGCGGCAGAGATCGCAGTTCCCAGGGATACCCTGCAGCTGGCTCCTTGTTTTTGGTCTCCTGTGTCTACAGTGAAGGGCCAGGCTAGGCGACTCCATCATTGGCTCAACAGACCCTGAAAGGAGGGGAGGTCAAGCCCAGTGATGCAGAGGCTAGGCCTGTGGTGTGACTGTAAGGGCTCAGCCCGGCTGGCATGACCAGTGTGCATCTAGGAGCTCAGGAGTTCTGTTGGTGTGGTGGCCAGCCCACCATGGGACATCTGGAAAGTTCTGTTTTCACTTATACCCTTCAAACTCTCTCTTCCTTTCAACCCTGTGCAGGCCACTATCTGCCTTCCTTCCTCCCCCGCCTCCACTCCTTCCCCCACTCCCCTCTTTCTTCCCTTTTCCTTCCTTCCTTACTCCCTTGCTTCTTTCCTGTTGAACCCAGGGTCTTGGTCATGCTAAGTACGTGCTAAGTGCTGAGCTATGCCCCTAGCCCTGGCCACTGGCCCTTTCTGGACTTTTCAGCTCCCCCATGAAAAACTAGCAGCTTGGATTACATATCTGAAAGCTCCAACTTGGAATTCTAGTAGGAGAACCCTGACCCCAGCACAGTGGAGTGATTATGAGGCCGGGCTTAGCCCTTCTTCCCTAGCCGAGTCGGCAAAACTCTCTGCACTTCAGCAGCAGCATCTGGCGCACAAGGCAAGCGACAGGACCTAGTTTGTAGGGCTGTTGTCGGATTTGAGGTGAGCACAGGATAAACGCTTGATATGAGCTTGTTCCCAGTAGCAGGATAGCTCTTACTGTCATCATTTCTGTTCTTGCTTTCCCTCTGTGTCCTCTAGAGGCAGGGCCTCTTGCATTCGCTCCCCATTACCCCAGTGATCTCTGATTAAAAACTACACTTTAAGCTGGGTGTAGTGGCACATACTTTTAATCTTAGCACTCTGGGAAGCTGAGGCAGAAGGACGGCAAATTTGAGCCCATTTTGGGGAACTTCCTGCTTTAGTAAGACACTGTCTCCAAATAAGATAATAAAAAAGGCCTGGAATGGAACTCAATACAAAGGCCCTGGGTTCAGTCTCTAGTACTACAAAATCAAACAAAACAAAATCCTGACAACAAAAGACTTCGATTCGCTGACAGCCTGCTCTATGCTGACTGCTGTGCGAATGCTTTGGGAGATTTTCTCTTTGGTTTATCAGAACAAGCCTGTGAGAGAGAAAAAAAAGAAAAGAAAAGAAAAGAAAAGAAAAGAAAAGAAAAGAAAAGAAAAGAAAAGAACAGCCTGTGAGAAAGGTATGTTATTCCTTTCAAAAAACTGAGGCTTCCTCAAGTCACACAGCTAATCGGTGACAGAACTGGAACTCAGAGTTGGCTAACTCTGGAGCCTGCACTCCTCTTTGGCTCTTTTATTTGGCATGGGTCCGCATCTGGTGGAATACACTGCAGGGCCAGAGAGTGACTGAAATTTGAGGTTAACATTCGTCCTTTCTACCCACAACCCCCTCACTAGAGAAGGGCTGCCAGGGGTTGACACGTCTCTGCTGAATAAAGCATCTCCTGTGTTGGACACAGGGACGCGGGGAAGGGAGGGCATTTGCCCAAGCCTCCACAGGAGATCAGCTCGGGACAGAGCTGGTAGCTGGGGACAAGTGGGGACCTGGTGGGAAGCTCTCCCGCCTTTTCAAGAGTCCCCACCGCCCCTTCCCTCCCCATCTCGATGTCCCAGGTGCCTGCTCACTCGGCAATGCTAAATGTGGCGTGACCGGGAAGCGCCGAGCTGGCCGTAACTGGACACCTCCGGGGAGCAGGCAGGGGGCCCGAGGTAGGAGGCAGCCCATCTCTGGCTCCGCATGACCGCCCCAGCCTGGCCCTTGCTCTCTGGACAGCTCCTCCCGGACGGCTCAGGCCTGCCTGCCACTCCTCTCCCCGCCCAGAGCCGCCTTCCCGGGAGGTGGAGCTGCTTGGCGCTTTCCCAAGGCGTTCCTAACCCCTTTGGAGGAAAGCTGGGGCCCTTCCCTCCAGATCTCCAGCTTTGTAACCTGGACGGGGTGGTCAAGAGCAAATGTTTGGATTTGGGCTGACTTGACTGCGTTTCAGCCATACCCTTTCTGGGTGTGGGGCTTCAAACCCACCATATAACTCTCTGCATTTCCCTTTACTCATCGGATAAAAGGGGCACATGGACCCCAAGTGAGATGTATAAGGTGCTGTAGAAAATGCTCAAGGACATATGTCATATGTCTGGCCTCAGTTGGCCCAATGTGGCCTCTTGCCCCGGGGTTCTGCGGTTCTCTGATGATACTGCTGCTTCAGGCCCGTAACCCTGTGGAGACTGGCTAATGACCTGTGCCTGATGCTTGCTGGTCCTCCCTGCCCACCTGGCCTCAGGAGGCTTGGACCCCAGCCCTGATCCTTTGCACATGTGAACCGAGAGGCCTCCCTGAGCTCCAGCTCTGGCCTGCATGTCTCCTGAGTTATGCCTTGCCCAGAAGCAGCCTTACGGTGCCTGCCTCACCTATGCTTGCCCCAGTCCCTAACCCCAGGCTCAGTTTTCTGTAAGCCTTGGCTGAGTTCCTGCACCTCAGAAGGCTTCCATTCATGGCCATGACTTTCATACCTTGGCTTGGCCACCCTACCACCCCACCTCCTCCAAGCCCTTGGGGACAGGATTAGAACCTTCACTGGAGCAGCCAGCAGAAAGCTCTTGAAGCTGGATGAGCTGAAGTCAAGACTGCATCTGAATCCTAATTGTTGTGAGAATTTGGTTGGACAGGTTGTTTACCTTCCTTCCCTAGGCCTCAGTTTCCTAATCTGTAAAATAGGGCTAATAATACATACCTCTCTGGAGGATTAGATGAAATATTGCTTGTAAATAGCTTAACATATAGTATGTGCTCAATAAATGATAGCTATTATTAATAATTAGCAGTGGGACAGAGTTAATTTAAGGCATGAGCTCTGGGGGTGGGGACAGGGAATGCAGAGGGAACTCACCATTCCTGCCCTCTCCTGTCTCTCACTGCTGTCTCTGTGATGCCCCCCACCCCAGTGCAAGGAGGCTGAGTGAGCTTCCCTCTCCTTGACTCTAATCTCAGATACCATTTCAGTCTTTTCTCTGCAGTAGAGAGAGCGCTGGACAGAAACCTCCAGGGGGGAAAAAAGAAGCTCCCAGGAAATGGAGCAGGAAAGAGGGGGTGACCCTGTTTCTTTGGGTCCCTCAGGAAGTCTCCCTGATGTCCCTGGTGGTACCTGCATTCAGAAGGAGTCTTTTCATCATTATCTAACCTTGAGCCTGCCTGTTCTGGTCTCAGGAAACACAAAAGGATCTGTGAACAAATACGAGTGAAACAAAGTTCTCCTCTCCTTCCCGATCCCAGAACCAGCCCGGAGTACTCCATGGCCCACAGCCTGCCCCTTGCCTGGGCTGGTGGCTGGGGCTCTCAGGGTGGACAGCACCTTCAAGTCCCTGGACTGTAGGGACCATGATCATAACAGCCCCACATCTCCAGGGTGCTCTGCGGTCCACCCTGCACTTCCGTATCATTACTCATGACCGCTTCCCTCTGTCCCTGAGTGCAGTAGACAGTTGTGCCCACGTCTTCCTAATTCCATGTCCAGTAAAATAGGGCCAAAATTTTTAAAAGAGTTGATTGGTGAACATTTACCAGCACACCACAGGCTGGGAGGCAAAGTCAGTACCTTCATTTTTCAGGGGGAAGAAAACTGAGGCCCGTGAGGGAAAATGACATGCCCAGGTCCACACAACTAAAAGGGAAAACCACACCTCCTAACTCTGTCCCAAGAACCTCAGATGCACACACTCCAGGACACAGCCGTGGCAAAACATTGGCCGAAGGCCCTCTTCCAGGCATCCTGTGCATCTCTGTCCTCTGAGTTCTCCTCCTTCCATGGTCCTCAGGGAGGGGGAGACAGAGTTGGGACCAGAAATAGACTCAATCTGCCCTAGAGTCTAGAGAGGAGAGGAACGGCCTCTGACCTGAGTGGGGTGGATGTAGAGGAGGATGTTGTCCCAGAAACCTGACAGCCAGACAGACAATCACCCTGCACCCCTGCTCTGTGCTCTTGTCACAGCCAGGCCTGCACTGCCTCTTGCCACCTGCATGGACACCACCATCTCTCCCCTCTCCCTTTCCCTGACTCTTCAAGGCTCAGGCAGAGCTAAGCATGGTGGTGAAAACCTGTAATCCCAGCACCATGGAAGGTTGAGTCCGGAGGATTGAAAGTTTGAGCTAGTTTGGGTAATTTAGTGAGATCCTGTCTCAAAATAAAAAACAACAAAGGGGCTGGAGATATAGCTCAGTGTGAAGGCCTTAGGTTTCATCTCCAGTACTGGAAAAGAAAAGATTCAGGGGGCTGGGGATTTAGCTCAGTAGTGCCTCCACCTGCCTTGTAAGAGTAAGGTCCTGAGATCAATCCCTAGTACAAAAAATAAGAAGGAAAAAAAGAAGAAGAAGAAGAAGAAAAAAAAAAAAGATTCAGGAAGAAAGGATCATTTGGGAGTCATTCCAGTGGAGAACAGTGACCAGAAGAAGAAGAAGAAGAAGAAAAAAAAAAAAAGATTCAGGAAGAAAGGATCATTTGGGAGTCATTCCAGTGGAGAACAGTGACCTTGGACAAGTCAATTCTCGGGTAAGTCGATTCTCCTTTCTGTATTTCAATTCCTGTATAGGCAAAATGAGATGCAAGGACCAATGCATTTAAAGATGCTGAGGCTGGTCCTGGGGGGGCTGTTCTGCCTTTGGGGAGCCTCTCTGAGGAGACCTTCGAGGGGAACAGGCAGAGCTGGGTGAATTACGACACCCAGGAAGGTATCACATTGTTATCCCCTTTTATAGATTAGGAAACTGAGGCTCAGAGAGCCTCTGACTTGTCCAAGCCACCCAGCTAGTAAATTTTGTTCCTAGGATTCAGACCTAGGCTTCAAAGCCAATATCCTTAACTATTATACCACACAGCCCCACCTTGGGAACACCTCAGCCTCTTGGGGAAAGGTGGAGATTTCCTTGGGAGGGTCTGTCCCTGTATCCCCTGTTGGCAACTGAGTCACAGAGGCCGGGCAGGCACAGGGCACAGAGGGCCCTCATGGGGCTCTCCATGCTCAGTGCTCCCTCCTACCTGGCGGCCTCCTACCTGCCCTTTATGAGTGAGGTGGAGCTGACTCTGTTCTGCCTTAATGGTTTCTGTTGCTGGCTGCGGCAGCATGTTTTATGAAGGGTGGGGCCCTGCCTAGTGCTCTCCCGCAGCCCCACCTGGGGCTCCGCCCGCAAGGCTGCTGGGAGGGGTCCCCTGGAGCAGTTTGGTAGCTACCTCTTGGGGGGCGTGCCAGGGAAGGGCCTGGGGGTTGTGCCTGAGGCTTGGGCTCTTGCATACTCAGGGTTTGGGGGTGCCAAGAAGGAGGGGTTTCTAACGTCTTTCCTTCCATCAAAGTTTGGGATTCTGAGGGCAACGTTCTGGCTCTGGATCCCGCCTGCATTCCAGGAACTGGGTCAGCTGCTCTGGCCTGGAGGTCTGTCTGAAGGGCTCTGAGGAGCATTTAGGGGCAGAATGGCAGGGACAGAGTCAGCAAGAAGAGCAAACATCCATGTCCCCCATTCGATGCTTTCCTCTGAGGTGAGCCACTGACACCTGCGGCTGAGTCATTCCCTTCCCTGAGCCTCTGAAAACCACCTCAGTCCTCCCATCTCTGCAAGTAGGCTGGGTACAGAGCATCCCTCAATGTGCCCATCCTGAAAAAGCACTTGAGCCACCTTCTCTGCCCTGTACTGCCCAAGAAGTTCTTCCAGAGAGTTAACCTGAATTCTTAAAATGTCAGTCCATTTGCCCTATCCTTCCTTCCTTCCCAAGGGACCCTTCAAAGTCTGTTTAAGAACAATGGACTCATCCCTCCTAAGAGAGGATCCCAGATTTGCTGTGGATGCCTGACTCTGCAAGCTTTCTGCTTCTCCACTGTTCTCTGCCCAGCATAACTCCCTTTCTACCGTCTTGGCCACTTCTGGGCAGTTTCTCAGCTCTCCATCCTTCTCCAGCTCCTGCCACCCAGCCCTGGCCCCAAAGGAGCCAAATCCAACCACTCACAGTAGGCTCCTGGCCATGGTCGCCATCCCAGCTTCGGGTAGTCATTCTGCCTGTAGCTCCCCAGGAGCCACCATGGGAGTATAAATACTCCCGCATGCCTGGACCAGCCCCTGTCCCTGGGTTGGGGCGGGGCTGTCTCCCCAAGCTAGACAGGCGGGTCACATGTCTCATAAATGCCACAGGACCACGGTCTCTTCCAAGCATCCCTGATCTTTTGGGATGGATGGATAGATGGATGTATATATAAATGGTTGGATGGACACGGATAGATGAATGTTCAGTGGAACAGAGGGAGGGATGTCTTTGACCTACTTGTGGATGCTTATCTTGTCAATGGTAAAGAAGGGATTTCAAGAAAATAAGAAATGCTTTCCTTTGAAGCCATCCATCCTTTCTCCATCCCTTCTGGGTCATCTTTTCCCCCTGCTATGGACAGCTAGTCTGGGAGATTGACTCTTCTGGCCTCTCCCTATTCTTCTGCCCCTTCCCAGATATTGCCCATCTAACCATCTCCAGCCTCCTCTCATCTTTACTCTTCCTCTTGGATGTCATGAATGGTCTGCTGTTCCCTCTCTCCTGCCTATCTGCCTCCTCTGGAGTCCACACTCTGAGGCTATGTGCCCACTACCAGATACTTGCTCCTAGATGCAAGGTGAGTTTGCCCTCTAAGATTAACAGGGGTAAGAGGCATTCCTACTTTCAGGAACAGGAAACCCTTGGATGGGCAGTTTAGGGAGAATTCCTAACCCTACCCCACCTACATCATTACCAGGGATTTTGACATCATGACTGGTCTGATGGTGAGGACAGTCTTGGCAAAAGACTTGAAGACAGAACTATCTCGGCTCGACTGGGGGCTGGGAGGTGGAGACTTCTTTATCACCTGCTTAACC